GGTCCTGAGCACTCGTCTTGAAGGGTATGTTAAACTTCAACCAAATATCTATTAATACTTAAGGCAAAAAAAAAAAAAAAAAGGCAGTGTCTGGGCTCTACCTGAGTCCAGTTAAATCTGAATGTCTTGTGTGAGTGTGGGCGCGTGTAGGTGGGAGGTCACAGGCGTCTGCAGTTAGAAGCTTCCAGGTGATGCTACTGTACAGCTAAGGTCGAGAAACACTGCTCTAGAAAAAGCCTAATCTGGGTCTATAGCAAAGATCTTTTACTTATTAATTGTGTGACTTTTAAGGTGACAAACTGTCCCCTCAGATAAACTGACTGACCTGAACGGTTTACCTAACCTCTCTGAGCCCCCTCCTCTATCATAGGAGGTGGATAATGGTGTCTACTCAGTAAAGTTACTTTGGATGTTAAATGGGAAAATTGCACAAAAGCACTCGGCATCATGCTGACCGCATCCCTCCTCTCCTTCTCTCCTTCTCCAGGGTGGTTCCTCTTCTATCTGATTTCTCCCTTGCCTGACAGACTTTCTCAGGGGATTGTCTACCATTTGGGCTGTCTTCCTCCTTGAGAAGAAAGGGTGTCTTTACCTGGATAAAGATGGAGTTTGCAGGCACAACGTGTTGAATGCACAGGGCGGAGCACCGTGTGGAGTATGTGGACTAAATGTGCATAACACAACACTGTTTATATAAACTCCAAACACAGGCACACTACATACCAATAAGCATTATGAAAGCATTGACCAAATATGTTAGCATGATGTCCTGCATGAGCAATAGAAATAAAACAGGATAAATATGTAAATCCAACACACAAAGAGGACTTTGTATGAAACAATGATGTTCATATTCCATGAGGTCAGTTCATGCACCTGACCCCCCAGAAACACACGAATGAGAAAACATAAACTGATATTTAGAAATGTGTATTTTTTATGGAAACAAAGACAAAAGCTCAGGAATCCAATACAGTTGGTTTCCTCCTACACTATTGGGAACCCCATGCCTGAGGACCCCTTCTCATGAGAACATGGTTTTCTGGGAAGCAGAAATGAAGCTTGAGAGCCTTCTCCTGTTCTGGCAATCTTTTCCCCAAATATTTTTCTCTTATGCTCTTGATGACTCATTTTTCCTTAATTACAAAGTTGAATACGTGAATATTCACGTTGAATACTTGAATAGTTTGGACGTCTGGGTTGCTGGTCATGGATCATTGTAAGTCATCAACCCGCACAAACTATGAGAAAATAGATGTTTGTTGGTTTAAACCATTAGGTTTGGGGATAAGTTATCATGCAGCAGCAGATAACTAATACAGCAGAGAATGCCCTTCTCGTCATCTGCCGTCTGCCAGGAACCACCACTCGGTCCAATGAGTGTGTAAAACCTGCAGGCGTTGGCACCATTTCTGGGCGTGTCAGCCACCTCCACCAGTTATCAGTGTCCCCGAGAATCCCCAGTGCCATCCCCCACCAGATGCTACAGTCTCTCTCCTTCTTTGGTATTTGTTTACAGGGGTAGCAACAAGTGGAATACAGGGGTTGGGGTGTGAGGGTAGCAGAATAGCACAAGGGTTAGTAGTGGAGCCTCTGGACTCTGAAGGCCCGTTTGCATCTTGGCTTTTCCAGTTGACCTTGTACCTCTTTAATTCTGTTTTCTCCTTGGTATAAAATGGGATTAATAATCATATCTACCTTATAGCACGGTGACAATTGAATTGGAGAATGTGTGTGGCACTTAGCACAGCGCCTAACTATAAACAAACAAATAAATGGCTCTAGAGCCCAATAATCTGTATTCAAATCCCAGCTCCACCATTCACCTTGAACAAATTACTTAACATCTCGATGTGTCAGTTCCTCATCTATGAAATGGAGATAAGAAACGTATCTACCTCATGAGGCTACTGGAAGAGTAAATGAGCAAATGAGCAAATACATGTAATATTATGTAGCACAGGCCTGTTAACAGTAATAACAATAATAGCAAACCATAATCAGAATCACCTCTCTCCTCACCTGACAATGAAGGCTTGTTTTTGCTTGTTTGTTTTAAACTAGGTAAGACTTGTGCTTGGGTCATTCTTCCTGTGAGATAAATTCTGAAGCAGATATTCCTCGGTTCGTCACGGAACTAAAACTTACTTTTTTTTTATAAATGAGTTTGAAATTAATTTTTGAGGGCATGAGCTAAAAAATGGTCTGCAAGCAACTGCTTCTGGATGATTATATCCACTTCTGAAAATGTTCTGTGTTACACCTCTAGCTTACACTGGCTTTCTCCTTTAGGTCAAGGTCTTTACTTTGATTTCCTTGTATTTCAGGATTAAAATCTACTACATTTAGGATTCCTTCTCTGTAGGTATCAGCAGGGTTTAGGGGAGACTTGCAAAATCCCACAGAGTGGGAATGGTACCTGGTGTGGATCACCATCTATACACTGGCTTCCCCTGAGATCTGACTCATCTCTCTGGTGCTTAGGTGTGATCACCCATCCCTTTGTGCAGTCATCCAAGATGTCCTTATCTCCATCAAGCCCTAGCCATACAGCCCACTCTATAACCTCTGTCCAGCTCCCCTGAATATAATGTGTAGGATGAACTTGTACACGTCACAACTTTCACAGTCTCAGCCTTGAGATGTTCAGGGGCTCACGCTTCTTCAGAAACCTTACCCTGTAACTTACACACCCAAGGCCTATAAGGTAGCAACAAAATAATTAACAGAGACCCCCAAGCTTGTCTTGCAGAGTACCAGGGAAACCAGGTATGGAAACACTAACAGCCCCTGCCACTGAGCATCACACAGGCACACTGAGGGACTAGAATGATTGATCACGAACTTTGGACATCATATGCCGAAAATCTACCAAGCGTAACGTATGGAACTCTTCCGATATTGCACATGCCACTCATGAAGAGACATGAAGGACATTCACACCTGCACAGAGGACTCCTGAAACTTCCTCTTAACTTTCCACCAATCGTTTCCGAGCCCCCTCCCTGTCTTACTCCCTACTTCCACGATAAATACCCCACTCAAAAGCCCACTGGGGAGACAGAGCTGAGCTATGCCTTCTGTCTCCTCACTGGGCTGCCCTGCAATAAAGCCTTGCTCTTTCTGCAAAAGACCTTTGCCTCTTTTGGTCTTGCTGTTACCCAGGGCAACAGCCCCACTTGCTCGGTTACACTTCCTTTCAGCCAACTTTGCCAGTGGACGTCAGTAACCCGGCTGTTCTCCCAATGGGACACCCTGAGACTACCTCAGGCCCACTCACCTGGACACCTCCTGTGGTCGTGGCGATCCAACAGCTTGGGGAACCAGGAGATTCCATCCTAGACTTGGTGTCTTCCCCACAGCCTCACCCCGGGAAACGAGGCACAGCTCTCCTCTGCTTTAGGATGTCCCAACTCAATAGGGTATCCACAGATGCCTGAAGATATTAACAATAATCACCTCTAAATGTGGGACTATGGATGGGTTTTATTTTCTTACTTAATCTATTCTTCATTCTCCACTGATTTTTCTTTTTATATTTTACAAAGAACATAATATTAAAAAATGAAAGTTGTAGATAATTACTGAAACATCACAAACAGTAAGGTGTGTTATTCTATAAATGGTAATACAAAAAAAAAACACCTCAATTCTGAACCACATTTCACATGATAAACTAAAACAAATTTCCTTTGACCACATAATCCTGCTTCTGGTGAACAAGCCTAAAATTAATCAAAATGTGTCCAATGCTTTACTCACAATGCTATTCCTTGAAATATTATTTATAATAGAAACAAACTAGAAATAAACTAAATGTCTAAGAATAGGGAGAATGATTGAGTACCTTATAACCATAAAACAGAATTTTTTACAACAACTAAAAATGGTTGATGTAAAAACAATTTTAAGAAGAGCATTTATGAATGTATAGAAAAGTTTATTTTGTGGTCCTAAGTTTAAAACTATATGTGTAACTGAGCAGGACCCTATGGGGCCTTCTTGGAACTGACCTCCCCGCAAGTCCTCTGCCTGTCCCTTGTCAGTAGAAGAACTTAGGCAAAGAATAAATTTAATCAGAGAAGTGAGAAAATGCAGAAAGGAAAATAGTCAAGCAAGAAAAAATAATAATAGTTTAACTATTTAACAAAGTCAAGGACCTTTAGTTCCTCCGCAAGGACTATAGATAATGTTCTGAGCCATGTCCTTCAAGCTCTATTCCAGATATTGAAACCCCCATCAAGTATAAGAAGTTAACTGTATGCTGCTCACAAGCATGGAGACCCCAGACCAGTTGGAATCAATAAGGTTGATGATGTTGACTCCCGATTTCCTTACCACCAACCTATCAGAAGAATGTCCACGAGCTGATCACACATCCCAGGAGCCTCAGCACGTAGCCCCTTCCCCTTTTCCCTGTATATATATGCACAGAAACAGCACTCTTGTAATGGTATCATGAGTGGTGAGAATATAGATGATTAATATTTCCTTGCTTATAATCTACATTTTCTAGTTTTACTATAATGAGCATATATCATTTTGTTATCACAAAGCTTTTTTTCTTTAAGGAAGTGACAAGAATCACTAAATAAATATACGAAGAGTGTTAGCATCCTGTCCAGGTGGTTAACAGATAAACATATTCTTATACTTCTGTAATTTCCATGTTCTGAGGGAAAAAATTTGCCACTGTTGAGTAATTAGATAGGAACAAATTAAAATACATGCACCTTTTTTATTTTCCATTTATTAAACTAGCAAAAGAAAAGAAAAATGGATAAAATCTCTTAAGTGTCACTCTCATAAAATAATCCATGCATTTTTGAATCAGGGAGAACTGGACACAAGGTTGCAATATTTGAAGTTCATTCACATGAATCAATATTACAAAAGGCTGAGAGGGCTTTCCTGTTCTTTCCAGGGTTGGAAATGTCTGCCCACCCCCAGCCTCTAGCTCCTCCCTCTGCAGCCAGAGTCAGCACCATTAAGCGGGGCAGAAGACAACGAATCTGCTCACTCACGACTATTTTGCACTCACCGTGGCCACCTTTGTGGAGCTCAGTACTAAGGCCAACTTGGGCCTGGGCACCTGGAAGGTATGTATGCAAGGATTTGGACACCTACTTCCCTCGAGGGGCTTTGGACATTTTCTCCTGTCAGTAGGGAAAGCTCAGAGGCGAGGGTTTGGAGAGGTCAATGTTGGGCCCTGGAGGCAGGACCGAGGTTGCTTTGCTTTCTCAGGGCTGATTCAGGCTGCAAAGCTCCAAGACTGGCTTTTTCCAGCAGTGGTGAGAGCTTTGCTAGCAAGTATCAAGTTTTAAGCAGTTTGGGGACTCAAAAACACACTTGCTTTCCTGGGCACTTTCTCTCTCAGCAGCCGTTCCCTCTCAACTCCCCCTGGCTCTGGGACACTTAGAGGGCCCTGGGTTGGCTGCTGTGGCCTGGGGGGTTGGGAGGAGGGGCTGGGAGGGCTCAGGAGGCTGCCCAGGCAGCATCAGCAGTCCCTGGGAGAGTGCTGAGGATCAGAAGCTGAGACCCCACCCCAGGCTACTGAGTTGGAACCTGCTCTTTAACGATCTCCAGAGCATAGTAGAGTCTGAGAAGGCTGTGACCACAGGGAGGGTGGTCCCAGAGAGAGAGGCGCCTGGGCTGGGAGTCGGGGAGCTCGGGTTCCCCAGGTGTTGCTAGAGTGAGCTGGCAGAACCCAGAAAGGCACTCCGAGTGCTCAGGGAAGCAGACTGCGGAGCCTCTCTTAGGATAGGTTTAAAATGTCTTCCCATCACTTTCTAACTGCCTTCGCTCTCACTTCCGTCCGTGATGGCGCCATCCTGACTGGTTCCAGTTCTCTACTTACCTTCTTCCCTCTTGTCCCTCTGTTGAGTCTTTCTCCTCTGACTCCGTCCTTCTCTGCACCTGGTTTTCTCATCTCCTCTCCTGGGTTAGAAGGTAGGCTCCCTCCTCGTCCCAGAACTGCGTCATTCTCAGGAAGCTCTCTCGGATAATCTGGGCGAGCAAGATTAATTCCAGCTTGATTCATCCCAGCTTCTCTTGCTTGAACAGGGCTGCTTTTCTCCAAATCAGAGCTTTGACTTTGACACAGATGTGACAAATAATTACTTCCACATCTCCAGTGAATCTGCTCACCTCGTCTAAATTTACCCAAAAAGGGGACTTCCCTGGTGACGCAGTGGTTAAGAACCCGCCTGCCAATGCAGGGGGCATGGGTTTGAGCCCTGGTCCCACATGCCACAGAGTAATTAAGCCCGTGCGCCACAACTACTGAGCCTGCGCTCTAGAGCCCGTGAGCCACAACTACGGAAGCCCGCGCGCCTAGAGCCCGTAAATCACCGCAGTGAGAAGCCCACGCACCACAATCAAGAGTAGCTTCAGCTCGCGGCAACTAGAGAAAGCCGGCGCACAGCGAGGAAGACCCAACACGGCCAAAAATAGAAGAATAAATAAATAAATTTATTTAAAAACCCCCACTAATCTGAAAAAATATAAAGCTAGATAAACTGGGAGATTGGGATTGACATATATACACTAATATGTATAAAATGGATAACTAATAAGAAACTGCTGTATAAAAAAATAAAATTGGAAAAAAAAGAATATAGCACTCAAAGCAGTATTGTATAAAGATATAATCAATGTGATGCCAAGTATTTGATACTAAGTATTCATCAAAGATACCATATACTTTTGGTCTTTATTTTTGTACAATAATTACTTTTTAAAAGACAAAAGTTGGATTACTAGGTTCAACTATGCTTCGTCAATATTGCTTCTTCTAGCCCTACAAAGCAATACTGGATCTACTCTAATAAATGATTTTTCATTGGAATAAATAAATAAAAAGTTTACCCAAAAAATTATGTTCAGAATTTCAGAATTAGATGTAAGGATTATGAAGTGAAACATTTTCAAGGTGTAGGGATGATGTAATTTTTAAGGCTTATGTGTTTACCAGTGAAGGTCAAGTAGGGTGTAGTGATTGGGAGGGGCATCCAGGGATGCTTCTTTCTTTTATTTTTATGTATTGATCTGGCTGCTTTGGGTCTTAGTTGGGGCGTGCAGGTCGTGGTGCGTGGGCTCTTGGATCTGGAGCGTGGGCTCTAGAGTGCTTGGGCTTACCTGCCTCACAGCATGTGGGATCTTAATTCCCCAACCAGGGACGGAACTCACATCCCCTGCATTGGTAGGTGGATTCTTAACCACTGGACCACCAGGGAAGTGCCCAGGGATGCTTCTGAATGCGTTTATTATTTCATGATGAAAGAAGAGGTTTGAAAAAGATTTTGTGAAAGATCAGTATGAAGTGTTTTTCAGTTTGCCTTTGCTAGATTAGACAGAATGTGGTATTTTTAATGCCCTTCCTCCCTCCCTTCCTTCCTCCCCTCCCTCCTTTCTCTTTCTTTCTTTTCTTCCTTCCTTTCTTTCTTTTTCTTCCTTCCTTTCTTCCTTTCTCTCTTTCTTCCTCTCTTCCTCTCTTTCTTTCTTGCCTTGCGGGGGTCGGGGGGAGGAATAAACCCCATTCTTACAAGGATTTCTATTTCTCCTTTTTCTGAAACAACAGCTATATAATGCCTTGCATCCATTGACTCTTAGGTGTGTGCCCAGTGCTGTGCTGCAAACTTGACATTCATTGTGGCCCTTAACACAGTGACCTCATGAGGCAGGTGCTATTGTTATTATTCCCATTTTGTAGACTAGGTTTAGAGAAGTTAAGTAATCTGCTCAGGCCACACACCTAGTATGCGATGAGCCTGGATTTATGCAGTAATGACCATTTTCTCTCTCTGAAGATTCCTTTGAGTTACTTCAATATCCAGTCTTCAGCCTGGTCATTAGAAAGAGGTTGCAGTCTCTTCCACACACCTGGAGACAGCTCCCGGTTGGAGGGTGAACCTGGATTAGAAGGGAGTGGGCTTGAGCTAGGATACGACATGAGGCTATAATCATAAAGTTAATTCACTTTCCTTCCTTCTCTTTTGAAAAGTTTTCCAAAGCACGTTTTCTTCCCAGGTGTCCCCTGGAAAAGGGGACCCCAGGTAAACCTTGGTTTGGAGAAGCTGGGCTGTATAGGAGAGCCTGTTGAAGGTGGTCTGGGGATAAGAGTCTATGATGGTCTTTTCTTTTTCCTTCCAGTCTACCCCAGGCAAAGTCAGAGAGGCTGTGAAAGTGGCCACTGACATAGGATGTCGCCACTTGGACTGTGCTTATGCCTACGAGAATGAGCATGAGGTGGGGGGAAGCCATCCAAGAGAAGATCTGAGAGAAGGTTGTGAAGCAGGAGGTGGGAGGACTGCACTTCAAGGCAGGCAGAGTATTGGATTTGGTCAGCACCCGGAACTCTGCCAGCCTTTGCTCTAAGTACTCTGGTCATTTCCCCCGCTGCCTTTATAACATCCCTGGATACAAACATCCACACTCTAGCTCAGTATTGGTGTGCAGAGACGCTCCTCCTACCTTACCCATCTCGACTGGGTTTTCCCTTTGTGGGGATGGCTCCATTGAGCCATGGCAGTGCCCTTAGCATCCCCGTTCCCCATCAGTGGGCTCCATCTGCCCCGTGGCAGTTAAAAGCTAAGGCTGCAGTCAGAAATGGATCCTGAAGCTCCACCTTTTTTTTTTTTTGCGGTGCGCGGGCCTCTCACTGTTGTGGCCTCTGCCGTTGCAGAGAACAGGCTCTGGACGTGCAGCCTCAGTGGCCATGGCTCACGGGCCCAGCCGCTCCGCGGTATGTGGGATCTTCCCAGACTGGGGCACGAACCCGTGTCCCCTGCATCGGCAGGTGGACTCTCTACCACTGTGCCACCAGGGAAGCCCTAAAGCTCCACCTTTCAGCACTGTGGTCTCAATGGTTGTGGCCCAGACGTTCTCAGCCAGCAGGTATTTTGGAAAATGGTGGGAGCGTTTTTTATTGTCATATATGAATTTCATTTTAGTTCAGTCTAGTAAAAGGCAAGTTACAAAATGTTATTGAAAAGGCTTTCCTCCTGCTTTCCTCTCTCTCCGTGGGCTGAATGGAAAATTCCTCTTCCCGCTTTGGTTAATCCTTACGACAGTGGATCCTGTACCAGGTACTCCTGTCCCAGAGAGGACTAAGCCAAGCCAGGATCCCTGGGGTCCCTCTAGCACTGCCCAAAGGTGTCCCTTTCTATGACAGGCCATGGAGGAACTGGTGGACAAGGGGCTGGTGAAAAACATTGGGATCTCCAACTTCAACCACTTCCAGATCGAAAGGCTCTTGAACAAACCCAGACTGAAATACAAACCAGTGCTTACCAGGTAAATTCTGTTTAGTAAAGGGTAAGGGTCCTGCGCTATTACTTCTTAAACATTTGGAGGCAAGTTCAGTGCTTTGCACTGAGTCTCATTTGAAGGTCAGTCATCAGGTACTTCGTTGGTCATGTGAGACGGCTCTTGGAGTCTGGTTTAGCCAGGCTAGCAGTGGGCAGTGTTTGGCTTCTGCTTGACAGTCTTTTATTGTGTGTAGAACTCCCTATGAGCAGCTCAAAAAGCAGGTGCACTTTCCTAGTGATGAGGATTGTTCCCCTTTACAGATTGAGTGTCACCTATACCTCAGGCAGGAGAAACTGATCCAGTACTGCCAGTCTAAGGGCATCACTGTCATGGCTTACAGCCCTCTGGGCTCTCCAGATAGACCTGGGCGAGGCATTTGATCTTTCTCTTGACATTCTTTAAGAAAAGCCATCAGATGGCTAGTGGGAAGCTGTTGCTTAGCACAGGGAGATCAGCTCAATGTTTTGTGATGACCTAGAGGGGTGGGATAGGGAGGGTGGGAGGGAGGCTCAAGAGGGAGGGGATATAGGGATATATGTATACATATAGCTGATTCACTTTGTTGTACAGCAGAAACTAACACAACACTATACACCAATAAAGAGTATAAAATTATACTCCAATAAAGATTATTGGAAAAAATAATACTCCAAAAAATTATACTCCAATAAAGATATATATTTTTTAAAAAGCCATCAGAAAGAAAAATACATGTAATGCAATGTGCCTGGCATACTCAAACAGTGGGGAAAATATGGTAACTTTACAAAAAACAGCAACATGCCTGACCCTCTGGAATTACTCCAGTTCAGCCACCCAGCACTGGATCAACCTTTGCAAAATTACTGACACTTCAAAGCCCATGGGTAAGACATGAAGCTTTCAAATCCTGCTGCCTTGTCTCCCACATGGAGAAGACTGATGATCAGCCTTGGGACCATCGCTGGAGTAATATTTATTTACATATGGTAGCCATGGTGATTATTCACACCAGCCATCTTTCTCCCTCTAGGGCCAAGGGTCCTTAATCTAGGACTCGTCCCTACTGGAGGATCCCAAGATTAAGGAGATTGCTGCAAAGCACAAAAAATCCACAGCCCAGGTACAAGGTATATAGTTTCTTTTCCGTCCAGCAGATCAGTCTTGTGTTTTATTCCTTGTGCTGTCTTCATTTAACTCCTTGAAGGCGAAAAAAACAGGAAAGGAAGCCCACTGAGGCCCTTCCTTGAAAGCCTGTTTGTTTGGAACTCCAGGAAATCCCATGGTTATCACTGAAACAAGGATGGCATCTAACGGCTTCTGTTGAGTCCTGTTGTCCAGGAAGAAGAGCATGGCTATACAGCCAAAAGATCTGGGTTCAGATCCCAGTTCCACTACTTATCAGCCTCATGACCCCAAACACTGTCCCAAGCCACTTTCCTTATTTTTAAAAAAGGAAGGTTATGAGGGCCTCCCTGGTGGTGCAGTGGTTGAGAGTCCACTTGCCGATGCAGGGGACACAGGTTTGTGCCCCGGTCTGGGAAGATCCCACATGCCGCAGAGCGGCTGGGCCCGTGAGCCATGGCCGCTGAGCCTGCGCGTCCGGAGCCTGTGCTCCGCAACGGGAGAGGCCACAACAGTGAGAGGCCCGCGTACCGCAAAATAATAATAAATAAATAAAATAAAAAAGGAAGGTTATGGAGTTGTTGTGAGGATTAAGGGAGATACTGGCAGAGGACTGACAAGCTTCTGATAGTTATATAAAGTGCTCAGTCAATACTAGCTGTTGTACTAAAGATACAGTGAGTGGCAGAGATGTTTTATTTTTCTGAAAAAAAGTAGAGGGAGCAGTCCTTGTAGATAAGTGGAAACACCACGTCCCCTTCTGCACGGGTTCTGGTCCAGTTCCATATCCGGAGGAACGTGGTCGTAATTCCCAAGTCTGTGATGCCAGCACGCATCGCTGAGAACTTTCAGGTAAGGTTCCAGCTGGTTGGCCCTGGTTTTCTCAGTGGAGGAGGCGACGGGAGAGATTCCCTCACCAGGCCTCTCATGCTGTCCCTGAGTTTTCTGTGGGCTTTTCCCCCTTCCCAGCACCTTGCAATCTCTCAGGCCAGGGAGCTGACCTCAGAGCTGAGATGAATGACTAAGGATGGGCTGGGGGAGCAGCCGGTGAGGTCCTGTCAGGTCTGAGCACAGCTGTACCTCTGATCTGATCACGGGGACTCTGCTATCTTGAGGATATGAAGATTTAAAAGGACAAAGAATAATAATAACCAACATGCATGGAGAATTTACCCCGTGCCAGCACTATTCGGAATGCTTTTTGTATGTGTTACTCACTGAATCCTGCAAGCACCCCTTGGAGGTAGATACTCTTACTCACATTTTACGGAAGATGAAATGCAGGAATGGGGAGGCCAAGGAACTTGCTCAAGGCCACCCAGGTTGTAAGTGGCTGAACCAAGTTTCAAAGGCTCTTGGGAGATCTTTGGTTTCTCTGGCAATCAAAACGTCATCTACATACTGAAGTAAGGTTCCTTCGTATAACTGTAGGTCCATTAGCTCTTTGGCTAGGGCTTTCCTGAAAGTGGTGGGGGCGTTCTTGAATCCCGGGGGGAAGCATGATCCAGCAAAACTGCTGTTTCAATTTGGTCTCTGGGTCATCCCATTCAAAAGCAAAAAATCCTGAGATTTGGGACTTAAGGGTGTGCAATAAAAGGTGCCTTGTAGGTCCGAAACCATAGGGCCAGCAGAAATCCCAGGATAAAGTTGTAAGGTATAGGGGTTGGCTACCACCAGATGAATGTCCTCAGCTATCTGATTTATTGCTCTCAGGTCCTGTACAAAGTGGTATTCGTGGGTCCCCGGCTTCTGGACTGGTAGGATGGGAGTGTTGTATGGTGACTGGCAGAGGCAGATGAGGTTATGTTCAAGGAAGGCAGATATCACTGGCTGGATTCCCTTTCTGGCATGTTCCCTTGAGGGCTATTGTTTTAAGTTCGGGATCTTAGACCCTGGATGGAGTTTCACCTGTACGGGTGTTACCATCTTTGCTCTTCTTGGCCTCCTATCTGCCCAAACATCCTATCTTACCTTCTGCAGGATCTCTTCAGGAAATTCCAGGCACTCAGTCTTTCCTAGCTATAGTAATGTTGCTTGAAGCGAGCAAGTTTGTTCTGGTGGCACCTTAATGTCCATCCTTTCTTAGGAGAAAGCGACTCTTGCATTTAGTCTACTCAAGAGGTCTTGTCCCAGCACAGGCATTGGACACTCAGGCATGTACAGGGAAACTGCTTCAAATAAGTCTCTCCTATCTGACGCTCCAGTGGCTTCCAAAAGGGCTTTTGGAGAGGTTTTGGAGACAGTCACTATCTCTGAGGAGGCTTTGGCCAGTTTAGAGTTTAGCACAGAGAAAGTAGGTCCGGTATCAATCAAAAAATCAACAAGCTTATTTCCCACAGTCATTTTTACCCAGGGCTCCTTGTGGGAAATATCAGTGGAGCCAGTAGTTCCTAGGAGAGACCCTGGGCCCTGTCATTCTTGGTCACTATCAATCATCTGGGGCATCAGCAGAAGGGGCTGTGAGCAAATTATTTCCATATCTGCGGTTTCCCTGGCACTCTGAAAGGCAAGCTTGGGGGTCTCAGTTCATCATTTTGTTTCTACCTCATGGGCCTTGTAAATGACAGAGTATGGTGTCACACTTCCCATCCACATTTTTATATTTTTGCTATTTATTTATATACCCATAAATAATCTATGAGATTGTTTTGGGTGTTTTTTAAAATTAAAGAAAAATTTTCCTTCATGTGATTATGATTATGATTTCCTTAATTAAAAAGCTTAGGTATAGGATAAAAAGATTAGGTTCCTATTAATAAGTTATATGACGTTTTTTGTTTCACTTGAATTTAACCAAACAGAGGTGAATTAAAATGCTGATACAGAGAAATATTTTAAAAAACAACTTCCTAGTTTTTCCTGACTTCACTTTTCACGTTTACATCTCGAGTAATGAGAACTTTGCAGGCCTCAGACCCTTCAATCTCACAATTCTAACCAAGATAATGAATCCATCCTAAAATTTGTTCACTGATTTTGGATTGCTGGGAATAAAGCCACACTAGTCATCAGCTAAACCTGAATCCAGTCTAAGGTATACACTACAGGTGTGTGTTAAATTAACTCTTTCTATTCTATGATTACGTGATTATGTAGTGAACTTGCCTTTTCTTACGGGGAGAGAGGTTGGGGAGTGATGGGGAGGGGAGGATGGTGAGGCGGGGTGTGGAAAAGGAAGGCAGCTTGTCATGGGAAGTAGGGGACCAGGGAGTGGGTCCTCATGTGTTCCAGGTATGTCTCTCCCCCGGTATTTTTGGATTGAGCTGGAAAGATGGGTACCAGCTAACTGGAAATCTGAGAATCACTGCTGCTGTCCTACAAGTCCCAGGGAGTCTCAGGACTAGACTGGACCCATTAGTATTTAAGTCAGATCTGGTAAATGCCAGCCAGATGGTACCAAACTCCAACTGGGACCTGGAGGGATTTGACTTTCTCAATAAGACCCCATAATGCCCAACCTCTCAGGCCTGCTTTAGTCATTCATTAACTTGCAATAATTGCATTTTACATGACTAGAATTTTGTACCCTACTTATTGCATTATCATGAGATTTTGCTATACGTTATAGAGTTAAAAGGGGTACAGATTAGAGAGAGGCTCCTGTAGAAAATAATTTCCAGTAAAATTTGAAAGGACCCTCATCAGTGAACATTGTTGGAAATAAGCATTTTTTTTGCTTTAATATTGAGTACACATGAGTATAAGAGTGAAACATAAAACTGAACGTAAAAACCATGCAAAAATAATAGGCTGTAAAGAATCTTGGAAAAAACCATTTGCCATGAATGTGACAGAAAATAGATGAGTAATTTTCTTACAATCAAACAAGCTTATTCAAATCAGTAAGAAAAATCTAAGATGTCAAAAGAAAAGTTGGTGAATGAAAATTGGCCAATAAACAACATGAAAAGTTATTCATACTAGTAACCAAAAATGCAAATTATAACAAGCTATCTACATTATCAAATCAATAAAGCCTAAAATAAAAGAAAAATCTATCTAGCAAAATAAACATGTAAGCAGGTTTTTTTTTCTATGTGGTAACCAGTGAATTTCATGTTTGTTATTCTCTTACATAATTTTCGTATTTTCTAAAATAGGAAATTCATGTTTACAGTCAGAGATGTAAACATTAAACATTTTTTAAGCATTAAAAAAAAATAACAAGGATCCAACTCAATCAGTTATTTCACACACCTATGGGGAAAGTCAAATTAAAGAAACATTTTTACTTGAAGTCATTTTCATTCAGTTGGTCTTTCAACTTTAGAAAACAAACACCCTGAGTGTACTACAGGGTAGAATGTGATTACATTGTATTTAAAATTCTATCCAGTTTGTTTTTTTCTCATTTGTTGTCAGTAGGGTAAATGTTTTCCCAGCAACTCCAGGGAAGTGCTGCCTTTCAGCACTTTTGTTGGTTCAAAATGGTCAGGCCCCACGTCAGTTAGGGAGAGATGGAAAGACCAAGGAGAAGACTATGACCATTGTTTAAAAGTTATGCACTGATAGGTGGTTGGAGGTTACCACTGTGTTTGTGGCCTAGGGCCTTTGCCCGGGTTATTCTCAATGCTTGGGATGCTTTATCTACCCTCAGATAGTGTGAGTGATTCTCTGCCTCATAGTCTTCAGGTCTTTGCTCATTTATCATCTTCTCAGGAAGCCCTTCTTTCCCCACCCTATTTAAGATTAATCCATCTTCTCTGGGGCTCCCTCTTTCTCCTCTCTGTTTTCCTTTTTTCCATAGCATGTATTTACCTAACATATTATGTGTTTTATTTATTTGTTGTTTGCTTGCTTGCTTGTTCTGTTTCTACCTAATAGAATGTAAGCTCTATGAGAGCAGGAATTTTTGTCTGTTTATTTTTATTTTTATTCTGATGTTTCAGATGAGAAAACTGAAACCAGGTCTCTTAACTGATACAACCCATGGTGCCTACCTACCTACCTATGCTGAAGTGATTCTATGAAGGACTCTACAACTAATCATAAATTATATTAATTACTGTTATGGATTAAATGTTTGTTACGGAATTCACAGGTTGAAATTCTAACTCCTAATGTGATGGTATTAGGAGGTACGATTTTGGGGAGGGGATTAGGTCATGAGGGTAGAACCCTCATGAATGGGATTAGTGCCCTTATAAGAAGACACAGGAGATCTCCCTCCCCCCGGCCTCTCTCTCTCTCTCTCTCTCTCTCTGCTCGCTGCCATATGAAGATACAATGAGAAGATGGCCATCTGCAAATCAGGAAGTGCCAGATCTGCTGGCACCTTGATCTTGGCCTTTGCAGCCTCCAGAACTGTGAGAAATACATTCCTGTTGTTTAAGCTACCTCTAGCCCATGGTAACTTGTTATAGCAGCCCAAGCTGTCTAAAACCGTTACTAAGGGGAAAGAGTTTGTTTACGGTGGAGAAAGGTGGCAGATACCTCTGGTATTAGTTTTCTACTGCTGTGTAACAAATCATCACAAATGGCTTGAAACAACATCCACTTACGATTTCACAGCTCTGTAAGTCAGATCCAACTAGGTTCTGCGCTCAGGGTCTCCCAAGACTGAAATCAAGGTGTTGGCCAGGCTGGAATTTCATCAGGAGGCTTTGGGGAAGAATTTTCCTTCAAACTCATTCAGGTTGTTGGCAGAGTTCTGTTCCTTGTTGCTGTAGGACTGAGGTCCCCATTTCCCTGTGGCTGTCAGCTGGGGGCTGCTCTCAGATCCTGGAGGCCAATCACAGTTATTTGCCACAGGTTTTCTCCAACTCAACAAGGTAGACCTCCCTGGAGTTGAATCCCAGTCACACCTTGCATTTCTCTGACTTCCCCTTTTGCTACCAGCCAGAGAAAACTCTGCTTTGTAAGGGCTGATGTGATTAGACTAGGCCCACAGATAATCTTCCTTTTGCCATATAACTAAGCAAAATCATGGCAGCAACACCATGGGCCAAGGTCATAGGGCCATCCTAAAATTCTGCCTACCACCCCACCTTAATCAAGTGATCAGTTTAACATTATCAGTAATAGGACAAATTGAAATTATGTATCACCTGCTAGGAGGCAATAAGAAGCTGCTAGCATCACATCTCTGATATCCCTGCCAAAGTTGTATAACTTGAATATAAACATGAGGAAACATCAAACCATCCCATCAGGAGAGCTGTTCGACAAAATCAGTGGTCATGTATCAAAATGGCAAAGCTGAAGCTCAAAGGGATGGAAAAATAGAGTATTCCTTTCTACAGCATATTAAGAATGTAATTAATGTTTTTCAAAGTACACAGAAATGCCAAGGGTTTTGTCAAGGTCCCAGGCCACTCCTTTATATAGCAATAAGCAGGGTTTTAAATAGTTTTTTTTTAATTTTAAAAGGAATTAATATTTACTGATTTTTTTTTACATATTTCTCCTAGAATTCAGCACGCTATAAATACATAGGACTACTTTTTAGTTTCTGTTTTTTAAAAAAAATCAGGCTTTTCTTTTTTATTGTCTTGGTGACCTTAGTCTCTAGACATGACCAGAAACAAGGTCATGAGGTTCCACTTTTTGAGCAGCCCCACTGCCTTCTATGTGTATTGTTTCTCTGCACTTTGCACTACCACGTCCAAACATCAATACAATCTTATCAATTGTTACATGGTTGGCCAAGTTCCCTACACCATGACTTTGCATATGCATCCTCCTCACCCTGTCTTTGGATCTGGGGTTTTGGCCTTCTGATCCAAGGCTGTCGCTCTCTCTTCCAGCAAGGCAAGGGCAGCAGAGTCAGGCGGCAGGCCTCTGAAAATCAAATTATCCACAAGCCCCAGCTCATTCTTTCTTTTCACAACCTCTTTTTCCTGATGTTAGTTATTGTAATAAAGCAACACACACATCACCCAAATATACTCTTCAGAGTAAATCAGATACCGAGTATTTTCTTATAAGTCCAGAAACAGGTTAGTAGATTGAAGTTAGAACCTACAACTCTTCCAAAAGTATTAATAATTGCACATGTGCCAAAATAAAGCTCCCTGTCTTCTGCCTGCCTCTCAGATGACGTAGCTCTTCTTGGACCCCACACTTCCCACTTCCTGGCAAAAATGTGAAACCAGCTAGTCCTAAGGGCCCTTGAACTCCTGAACTAATTCCTTAATTTCTGCTTGGGATTTCAGAGGAAGAAGAATGATCTCAGGAAAATACCTCCCTCTACTTCTTTCTTCTCTGATTTCAGAACTTCAGATGTGCAGCTTCTTTCAGATTTGCTTGGTTTATTTCTAAACCAACAGGTGACATTCAAAAGCAGAAAATACTGCTGTAACTGTTGTGTACTAATGTTCCGTAACTTATTTCATTTCTACCTGTAAGCTGGAAGCCAAGCACCCAGACAAGGATTTAAATATTTGCTTCATCCTAACTATCAACCGTGTAACATCATCCAGTATGAATCTGTGAACTGAAAAAAAACCCGCACAATGTGAGGGTTGTGAGTTAAGTTATATTCATGTTCTTACTGAGGACTATAGCCCAGGAGACTATGGCCTCTTGGTAGCTCTGAGAAAGTACTCCGAAGAGGTAGGGGGGAAGGCTAGCTCATATATGATTTTTTTTGGGGGGGTGCTGGGGAATATGCGCAGTCAAGTATGCATCTTGGTAAAAGATTGCTGCTAGTCATGAAGAACAGGTAACTCAAGTCAATGATTTTAGTGCTTTACAATGTATGGGAAAATGCAAGAAGCTGGATTCATTAAAGTTCTTCCTGAGATATAATACATCTAACTATCTAAGGGGCCTGCTCGTCAGAAGCACAGAGCATCCTGTTATCATCTTCATTTCCTATGTCTGGAGCACAGAGTTCTTCACCCTGTTATCGCCTTAGTCTCTTCTGTCTGAAGTAAGGGATGCACTGTTGGTCAGCCACTGCAGTGGGTTCATATTCGTAGAACTGGATGGTGAGCAAAACACTCTTTGCTCTTCTTCTGCTTGCAAATCTACCAGTGGATAAGTGGCACATTCACAGCTGCATGCTCTACAAGCTCTGCTGAACAAATAGGTTTGTCTCCCTGGAGTTATGCCCTGCTTCTGTGTATGAGGTAGGCCAGAGCCAGCAGCTGAGGAAGCTCCAAGGCTAAAGGGCAGCTGTGCATTTTGGGCTGTGGCAGAAATGATAGGGCTGATTTAAGAGATTCACCTGGTACCAGCCAGGCTAGACTCACAGGCTATCAATGCTGGTGGGGCCTTAGAGGCACTGAAGGTCTTCCAGGTCTTCAAACATCACAGTCTGGCTAACGCCCAGCCTTCTCTAGTGGCCGGGAATTCACTTCTGCCAACTAGTATTCAGAAAAATCTTGTGTTGAGACAGGTCTTTCTTATGCTGAGGTAAAATGTGCCTTCCTATATCTTCCACCTATAGATCTCAATTCTGTATGCTGTGACCACACAGCATCCTGATCCTTGTGTAATAAGCAAGAACAAATCTGACTCCATATTGGATCTGTTTCTTTTACTTTAACCTTTGTATTCTATTGCTTTTGCTACAAGTTAATCACTAAAGGGATGTTGCCTATAGCCTAAAATATGCATAATGGCCTATCTCTGGGAACCCTGCCTCCCATGCAATGAGCATTAAGTTAAAATACCTTCGTTTAGGGCTTCCCTGGTGGCGCAGTGGTTGGGAGTCCGCCTGCTGATGCAGGGGGCGCGGGTTCGTGACCCGGTCCGGGAAGATCCCACGTGCCGCAGAGCGGCTGGGCCCGTGAGCCATGGCCGCTGGGCCTGCGCGTCCAGAGCCTGTGCTCCGCAGCGGGAGAGGCCACAACAGTGAGAGGCCTGCGTACCACAAAAACAAAAAACAAAAAACAAAACACCTTTGTTTAGCTCACAGGAAACATCCTGACCAGGCCCACCTGTGAATCGCTGCAGGAAAGAAGAAATTAACATAACCCCTCTGGAGTCTGGCCAGAACCAGGAAATATCTGCAACAACTTATTGCCTTTTTTACTTTACCTCTTCACCTCCCCCTCTTTGTTCTATAAAAGAAACTAGCATCCAAACCTGGGTAAGACAGTTCTTTGGGACATTAGTCCACCATCTTCTCAGTCTACTGGCATTCCAAATAAAGTCGCTATTTCTTGCTCCAGAAATTTGTCTCTCAATTTATTGGCTCGTCATGCAGCGAGCAGTACGAGTTTGGACCTGGTAATGATGTGAAAGCCCTCCAAATATTTGATATAGCTGTTATAGTCCTATGTTATACCCAGTTGTTTTGGGTAAATATCACCAATTAATTGATACAGATGAATAGATAAAGAAGATTGACCAAAAAAACCACACACACAAAAAACACACACACACACACAAAGAAGATTGACAGACGAATGGATAAAGAAGATGTGGTACATATATACAATGGAATATACTCAGCCATAAAAAGGAATGAAACTGGGTCATTTGTAGAGACGTAGATGGATCTAGAGACTGTCATACAGAGTGAAGTAAGTCAGAAAGAGAAAAACAAATACCGTATATTAACGCATATAGGTGGAACCTAGAAGAATGGTACAGATGAACTGGCTTGCAGGGCAGAAATTGAGACACAGATGTAGAGAACAAACGTATGGACACCAAGGGGGGAAAGTGGCAGGGTGGTGGTGGTGGTGGGATGAACTGGGAGATTAGGATTGACATATATACACTAATATGTATAAAATGGATAACTAATAAGAACCTGCTGTATAAAAATAAATAAATAAAATAAAATTCAAAAATTCAAAAAATAAATTAAACGAATGAATTAATTTTAATAATTTAATTTCTTAATACATTTATTATCTCATAAATTAATTTTTAATATTAAATCAAAAGAGTAAATTAATTAATTAAATTCAATTAATACAGTTTAAATTGGACGTGTCTTTAATTTAGTACTGATAGCTTTTTTAGTATATGTGCTGCCGAAGCGAGCACAGTACTGATAGCTTTAAGAGACAAGAAGGATGAAGCTGAACCTTCGAGGATGCCAGCCAGCGCATTGGTGAGGTCATTGTGAAGCCAAGGTCTAGTCTACAGTGTTGCAAATTTAAAAGTTCATCTTTGTTAGTTTACTCAGGAGTGATCTGAGTTGGGATAATCCATAATAATCTAGTTCATAACAAACAGATAAATGGGGCAGGATTCTAAGTGACTGTTCTGAGAGAGGTACCCATCATGCAGTCTAGAACATACATATATATGCTAGTCACACATTATCTTTTCATTAAATAGAAAGCCTTTGAAAACTACTTGAATATCGGGAGAGATTATAATAAAAACTTTATCCTGAGGCACTTACCTCTTGACTGAGCACCCAGCTCAGCACACTGGCCTACGCCTGCGGGCCAGTGAGTGGATTCTCTTTCCATAGTGCTGAATGGGGAGTCTGACAAATTCTGGATGAATGATTCTTCTTGTTAAATATTCTTTATCTGCCACAAATGTGCTTCATCATCACATGTCTGTATTTGGCAGTACGTAGTAGTTAGGAGTCTTGGCTCAAGTCAGTTAAGTATTTACTAATTGAATGACTGAATAAATGAATCAGAAATCATTGCACAGGAAGAACAAGGTCAATTAAAATTGGACAGAATAGATTTTATGTTAGTTTGTGAATTTTTCAATGAAAAGTTTGAAAGCACTATCTTTGCAGATGAGATTTTTAAGAGCTGTCACCCCAGACCTAAGTTAGGAAACACTCCAGCCATCAACATTTGTAACTGTTCTGGACTAAATATTTGTGTACCCCAAATTCATATGCTGAGACCCTAATCCCCAGTGTGATGGTATTTGTAGATGAGGCCACAGGAGTTAGATTAGATCATGAAGGTGAAGCACTCATGATGGGATTGGTGGCCTTATAAGAAGAGAAGAGAGAGAGAGAGAGATCTCTTTCTCGCTCTGTATGCACCCAAGGAAAAACCACGTAAGAACGTAAGGAGAAGGTGGCTGTCTACAAACCAGGAAGATGTTCACCAGGAACTGAATTGTCTGGCACCTTGACCTTGGACTTCCCGGCCTCCAGAACTGTGAGGATAAATGTCTATTGATTAAGCCACCCAGGCTGTGTTATTTTGTCAGCCCGAGCTGACTAAGAGAGTAATATATCATTCAGAGTAGTAAGTTGATTCTGAGATGAGATGTAGGCTAGCTGTTTTCTTACTTTGCCTTGAAAAGGATGAAATTTCTGATGTCTTTCCCATTCAGCTCAAGAAACGTACCATGGAGGACTCTGTAGGTCCTGTGCTCTGTCTACAGTGGAGAGGGCCTGCAGAGGAGGACTGGATGGATGGTCCCAGTCCTCCAGACAAAGGAGGATGTGAGGTCATCTGCTGTGGTCGAGGAGCTGAAATGCAGAAAGGGACTTCAGCGAGTGGAGAAGGCTTAGAATTGCTTCTATGAGCAATGCCCCAAGGAATTAACTAAGGATGAAAAGAGGAAACTTCAGCAGCCTTGAGGTTACCACTGAGGTTACATATTATGGATTCAGAGTTGATCCAATGTGTAGACTTTTGTAACTTTCTGCAGGAGCACCTGGCCGCCTGGAAGGAGAGAGACAAGAGGGTCGACTCCATCTAGCACTGGGGATTGGCAAGGCAGTTAAGAGCAAAGGATTCCAGGAGGCTTGTTGACATTAAGTAACTAACCCTTAACTAGAAAGAGCTTCAGAGCAGTTGGGCAAGGGATGTTTCAAAGCAGGAGGAGACTACCCAGATGTATAGGTATGAAATGGTTACAGACAATGAACCTGGGAGAACCCTGCCATCTCCCCCATTGCTTGGGTCTAGCCACTTCTCTGGTTTATCCTTACATGAGGATCAAGATCTTCTTGTCCCCCTGCTGCCTGATCTCCCTGTATGCTCTATCCTTTGTTTAATTCCACTTCCCCTTCAAACTTGAGGCTCCCATTATAAATAACAATGACCATACCTGACTTGGTGCCCAAGTTGGTGGACAGTTTAGTTGAGACTCTGCTGCCACCTGGTGGTCCTTGGTCACTTCAGATGTCCATGGTATCCTAGCTAGGAAGAGGCAAGTGAAACCAAGACAGAGCTGAATACTCATACCTGAATACTCGGGTATGAGCATTCAAGGGGTCTGGAGTTCATGATGAGGGTAAAGAAAAAATTAGTAGGTATGAGAAAGACAGAAAAATAAGAGTTTGTGGCCTAACAGAATTTCAGAGTTTGAAATCTTGATGACAGAGGAGTATTAAGTATCAATACCAAAGGAGTAGCCGTGGTTGTGTGCTTCTAAAAATGTCCTGAAGACAATAAAGTTGAAGGTCAAAGAATCCAGGGCCAGGCTGTTGCAAGCACCATTCACATTCTCCACTTGGAGATGAACATCCCTGTGTTAGAGTCCATGTTTCAATAATATTTTTCATCTCCCACACTTCCCAACACATTATCTACAAAATGTTGGTTGAAGGTTGAAAAATCACTAATGGTGATTGCACGGGGTGGAGTGGAGATGACAGCTGGGATCTGGCCGAGCTAGTTTCAAATACTTGGCTTTCTCAAGTTAAGTAGCTGCTTTCAACATTTCAGTGACTGCTCCAACACATGGCCATTGGGAAAAATCTCCCCTTAACGTGGTACTTTACAGTTTCACGTATATCCTCCTAGGGCAAGAAAGCTTCCATGATGTTGCTATGCGCTCATTGCCTGAAATGGGCAAACCACACTCAGAATTGCCCTTCTTACCTTCCCTGCCATTTATTTTCCACCGTGAACTTTCTGTAAGGAAGATTTTCATCCAGGAGTTCTTAACATAGTGCTCATGGATCCCAGGCTTTGGGGAGGCTCTGAAATCAAATGCAGAATTCTATGCTTGTGAATACTTGTTTACTTTCTCTCATTAAAAAAAAAAAATAATTCTTAAAGGAATGTGTGGCCTATGAAAGAAGAGCCCTGGCTTTAGGCAATTTGACTTCCTTTGATCTCAGGCAAGTTTCTGTACCCTTCAAACTCCATCACCTCTTTCCTCCTTTCTGAGTTTGTAAACATTTTTGGAAGTTAATTACTCTACTTTCCCATCCTTCTCCTGGGAAGTTTGGAATTCCTGTACCTCTGCTTCCTGGGTAGCTCTGCTCTTGACCACACTGTTCTCAGTCAGTTGGGTCGTTGGCCGAACCAGAAGGGTTCCCTTCTCTACTCCCTGAAGGGTAGAGGATTTCTAGAGAATTTTTCATTCCTTACGTAGTGGATACTACATTTCTTTTCTTTCTTTCTTTTTTTTTTTTGCGGTGCATAGGCCTCTCACTGCTGTGGCCTCTCCCGCTGCAGGGCACAGGCTCTGGACGTGCAGGCTCAGCAGCCATGGCTCACGGGCCCAGCCGCTCCACGGCATGTGGGATCCTCCCAGACCAGGGCTCGAACCCGTGTCCCCTGCATGAGCAGGCAGATTCTCAACCACTGCGCCACCAGGGAAGCCCCTGATAAGAATTGTTAATACCACTTCCCACCTAAAAATTAGCAAAAAATTCCCAGAGTCATTCAGGGTTAAATAGTGGATGAGGGTAGTTTTTCTTGTTCAGAAAAATTTCAAGCTGAAAAAAAAAAAAACACAGTCAAACTTTACCATTGCTAAGCTATCAAACTGCTGTTTAGTTGAGCAAGTCAGGATATTCAGCCTCTATTGCTGACAAAAATTAATAGAACTGAAGTTGTGTAAGTATACAAGAGTGAATAAAGTTAATTTTTTTTACAGTATTGGTTCAATAACTCATGATAGATTCAAATATTACCTTTGAAGTATCTGCTGATGAATCACACAAAGAATAATCACAGTCTTTAATATCCTTTTCCACAAGCTTTGTAAATTTGTCCAACTAAGCCTTTTCCTGCTCCACACCAATTTTTATCACCAGGAGTTGTATACATCTTAGCAGATTCCACTTCAGGTTGTACTAAATTCGAAATTTTCTCAACTTCTTTGAAAATATTCTTGCTTGTAGCTCAACACAGACTATTCATAGAAGCCAGTTGTTCAGTCACTTCAGACTTGGCATTGACACATCCAAGTAAACAACAGCTGACCAGCATCAGTACCATTTTGTCAATTCATGAAGATACAAGGAAGAATACTCAGAACCATTAACATTTTTTTTTTAAACTAACTATTGATGTTGCTACCAAGGTCCTCAACTCCGAACAATTGTTGATACCAAAAGGCTGATCATCTTAAACAGGTTTATTTTCTCTGGACACATTTATTCAGCTTCTATGATCAAACACAATTTAATTAACTTGCCATCGGTAAATGGTTTTCCTTGCTTGCTAACAAGTGAGCCACTCAGAAACTCACTTTCTTTGCAGCCTCACTTACATTTTTAATTCTTGTGAAGAAATTCTGCTATAATGAGGTATTCTATTTTAAATTTCCTAATTTTTCCGACTGTTGCTTTCCTGTGAGTTTGGGATATTGTGATGAGTGCTTAACCTGGAAATGTTGACATATCTTGTGTTATTTTAGCACAGTTATAGTGTCATTGCCTAATAAATATAATTCAATAACAAACAAACCACCCTCCACCAGTGATTTAAAAGTGCAACATTTGAAGTCCACTTTTCTTGTTTAGACATGAAAACATGTCTGGTAACGTAAAATAGAACAAAATAAAATAAAATAAAATGGTATAACAAAATGCTTAGCATTTGTAACACTGTTTTGAGTGAGTTATGACTCATTGAGTGATAAGCATGAAGTGATGAGAGTTCCACATATGGTCTCTGTTGCAACTTTTCAACTCTGCTGTTGAAACTCAAATGTATCCATAGATAATACATAAGTGAAAGAGTGTGACTGTGTTGCAATAGAACTTCATTGACATATACTAACCCTTAATTTCAAATATTTTTCACATCACAAAATATTCTTCTTTTGATTTTTAAAAACCATTTAAAAATGTAAAACCAGTCTTAGCTTGTGGACTGTACAAAATAGACAGATTTGGCCCACAGGCCATAGTTTGCCAACCACTGGTCTAGACCATTGTACCTCTAAAAGTTTCACAGAACTGTCAGGTTCCTGAATCTTTGTAGGGTTTATTTCCTATCACCTGAGGTGCACATTTCTTAATTAGGCATTCAAAGCTCTTGCCACTTTTTGTTACCGGGTCCAACTGGCATGGTGTCATCAATATAGTGGACCAGTGACCAGAATGTCCAGGCAATCAAGGTCCATCATTATCATCCATGATCTATATACTTTAAGTGATGATCAAACTGGTGCACTGAATGGGGTACTATGGAGAGCATCACTCCTGCATCCTTGAAGTGGTTGAGGGTGACATGAATCACTGCAGGATGTCCTTTCAATTTACTATCTTTGCCCAGGGATGGGGATCAGGGAGGACTTTTAGGGGTTTCCACTTAGCCTTTCCTACTATAAAGATTCACTCCACAGAGAACCAATGTGAGGATTCTTCCAGTTGCTAAATATACCACAGCCCCCTGACTTGGGGTAGGACTCCATATATCAATTGTTCTCTAATCATCCCCACTCTAAAAAGGAGGCCGATGCTATTTTGGGTTGCTTGGTATTCATGTTGACTTATCCACAGCCTTCAAAATACCTGAATATTCACTTTCCCCAGTGTGTAGTTAATCTGGTAAATGTCTGCAGGCCCTTTTGAGGAAGGATTGCTCATAGCTATGATAACTACTTGCTATGGTGTTTCAGGGACTTTCTTCAAGGGGACATGGCTCTTCAATCAATGGATTCTGAGTCTGAAAACTGCCTCAACTCTTGAAACTAGACAAGAGACCATGATTTTCCATTGTGGTACTGACTGACTCAAGATCTTTCTTGGATATATAAATGAAGCAATTGCCTGCTTTTATAGCTTGTTCCTAGGATAACATGGTTTGTTAGTCTTTGGCACAGATTCCTGTGGTTCAAGTTCCCTTGATCATCACTCTGACTTTGTTATCCATTAGGATAATCGCACCAACCTGTCTTCCTTTAGACTTATTGTATCAATTAACACAGCAAATTAATTCCACCAATCCTACCTTCGCTCTGACAATTATATGCTCTCAACTTGCTTCTTCTACTCCAGAGTTCTATCATCCCCCCTGACACCAGGGAGCCCAGTTTTCCCAGCAGTATTTCCTACTTGGCCTACAACCATGGCCTACAGAGGACAGAAAACACTGAGTTTGTTAAGATCCTAGTGTCTCCCTCATAAAGCATCACTTCTTTAGTGAAGAGAGTGTTCACTCACCTTCCTGAGAAACATAGTCATCTGGTGATTCTCTGGTGTTGCACAAATAAGTCAGTTCTAATAGGCCCGCCTCTCTGTGCCTTTGACCCCTTCCTCTGCCAAGGAATTTCCATCATCTCCACCTCATTTACTGTAGGCATCCTTTTTTCCCAAACTTTGAGGAGATATTCCAGGAGTTTATTAGGAGTGGCTCCAGGTGCCCTTGCCAGGACAAGCTGGGAGAGGAGAAAGCAAAGAGCAAGGGGAGTGAAAGAACAGACCACATATCTTTTCCCACTGGTAAATCCTCAAACCCAAAATCAGTTCTAAGCTGAGGGAGGGGAAACACTTTGAAATGGATGACAATTTGAATTTTCTGGCTGGAGAGTACCTTTTAATACCTGAAAAATCAGACTATTTAATACCCAACAGTGAATAGAAAGTGAACGGGGAGCCATTGGGTCTGCCCATGGTATCTCCAAGGAAGAGCGAAGGGAGAGCCAACAGTGTTTTTGAAGGCAAAGGTAAAAGAAAAATAGAGCGGTTCCCTCATTGTACATTATCAATTATAAATGGTTCAAACGACCAGTTGCAAAAGTGTTGAAGTGCAAAATTGTGTTGCTACCTTCTAGTTCTTTGAGTTGTTTTTTCCATTTAGGACATGGGCTACAATGAGCCATTATGCAAGTGAAACCGCTAAGCATTCTGTTTTTATAAACACAGGTAACAAAATATATTAAATCTGCATACCATAATATGTGAACCGGTCTTAGAAGTTGAGAAGTAGTGACATAAGGGCCATACAAAGGTCTTAGCCATGAAGTCTGGAGCTCAATGAAGGGAAAACCTCACCCATGATATGGGGGGTGCTGGTCAAAGAAGCTTTCATGAAGCAGATGATATTTAAAAGGACTCGAAATGCTGAGTATGATTTTGAAAGATATATAAAAAGAAGTCTTTCCAAGTAGAACGACAGGAAAAGGCACAGTAGTGTGTTACTAGGGATGAGAAATTCAATTTAGATGAAACAAGGACTGTAACGGCAAACAGTACATTACATCCACGTAGGGATGTCATGGAAAACTAAGCCTGAAAAAAACATGTTTGACTTGTACCTGGAGAGTCCTGGACAGCATGGAGCAGGATTTATACTTCGTATGGAGGCACAGGAGTGATTGATTGAAATTCAAATACTTTCCCTAGTATTTTTCAAAGAATTTCCTGAATATGATTTTCAAGTTGTTTTTAAACCGAGTCTCAAGACAGAGCAAGTGGGAGTAAGAATCTGCTAAGGAGCCAGTGGGCAGGTAATTGCCGAAGCAGAGCAGTGAAGGGGGGGTGGGGTGGGGGGTGACTGGCTGTACCACCACTCGGATGGGAACGACCTGGCAAACAGAGAGAGCCCTAAAGATCGGTCTCTGTCCACCAGCCAGCAACAGCTGAGGTGGAAGGAGGCGGGTGCCTCTTACTCAGGCACTGCTTCTGGATTTGGCATTCTCCAATAAATCCCTCTTTCCTTGAAGTCCATCTCCAGCCCTGCCCCAGTCTGCTCCTGGTCTGAGTACAGCAAGTGAATGGTACACCACTGTGTCAGATCCTGGGAGCAAAGGGACTTCTTCTGAAGTTGATTGCTTAACCTTCATGTTGAATACTGGAGCCCAATATCAAAAGACTATGCTTATATTAGCAAGCATATACTTGATCTTCAAATGGAAGAGAGTTATTAGAATGCTGCTAAGGTGTTGAAAACATATCGATAATTGTCTTAGAGAGTTGGTGCAGGGAAGTAATGTGACAGCACATGTAAAGTGGTTATCACTTCCTGGCACAGAGTAGACACTCAATATTAAGTTCCCTTTCTAACATTTTTCTATAGAAGGGAGTGGCACAGAGTAAGTAATTTATCTCTTACACACTCCTTCCTTGAACCTCCCTGCCCAGCGCAGATATACCCATCACTATATTCGGCATTCCTGCGGACACGCTTCAGGTGGATGGTCTGAGCCTTGTACCTTCCCATCCCCTTCTTCTGGACCCCTGTGGCTTGATGCTGTTCCTCTATGATGCAATGCCTGAAGCAGTACTCAGTTCCCCAGGTATGGGCTGATTAGTGAAGGAGAAACAGAAACGTTTCTTCACCTTGGCCTAGATACTACAATTCTGTTTTTCCAAGCTAAGATTTCTTTAGGGTTTTGTTTTGCTATGTTTTGTTAAGAAGCCACAACTTGCCATTGACTCATTTTCAGCTTCTAGCCAACAGAAACCCCTGAGCCTTTTTTTTTTTTCCATGTGATACTGTTAAATCATCTCTCCCCCACCCAGATCTTGGACAGCTGTTTGTTGTTCTAGATCTGAGTAAAGGATGTCTGTTAAATTCCATCTTGTTAGATTAATTTTCTCCATTCTAGCCTATCACAATATAAAAATTCTTGTTAAGTGAAAAATTAAATGCATACATTGCATATTGGCATACATAAATTGGCATACAGATGTCAGACTAAGGCCCAAAACATCAAATCATGGAAACCCCTCTAGCAGCAGAGTATAGCAACAACAAAACACCATAGAAAAGACATACGCTGTAGTTTTCTTAACAAAAATGACCCACGAGCCATAAACTCACCAGTGTTAGTCTCTGTTAACTTCCCAACATGCTAGACTCAAAACTTTTTTTCAGAATATATTAATTAAATCTCCAGAACATATGATTTCTTATTACAGTCCAGTATTTATATATTTGTATTTATTTACTTTTTTTTGAATGAAAGATTTTTACAATTCTATAGTGCTTCATAATTTTCTTTTTAAAAATATTTATTTATTTATTTAGCTGCGTCGGGTCTTGTTACAGCACACGGGATCTTTAGTTGTGGCATGTGGGATCTAATTCCTGACCAGGGATCGAACGCGGGCCCCCTGCATTGCGAGTGTGGAGTCCCAGCCAGTGGACCACCAGGGAAGTCCCTACAGTGCTTCATACTTTTCAAAAGCTTCACACAGATGATTTCATATAATCCCATAATGACCCTTTTTTCTCCTACCCCATATTGTCCCCCCGCTTCCCTCTTCCCACCTATGTAAATAGTCTCACCCATGTAAATAGTCCTTTTTATTAAACTCTCCTCAAATTACAAATTTCCTTTGGGGACTGAAACTGATACAAGCTGTCAATCAGGATTCAATGGATAAAATAGAAATAGTTCTGAGTATTTTAAAAGAGAGAAATTTAATACAAAGAATTGGTTACATGGATATTGGAAGACCTGAGAGGCCAAATAAGTAAGAGTAAAGGAACCCAGAAATCAGCAACAGATGGAAGCCACTACCATTCCTATGATGGAGGGACAAAAAATACTGTGCTATCAGATCCTGGAGGCTGGAGTGCCCTGGAAGAAGTTAGAAGCTAGTTCAAAGGGAACTGGAGCCATAGGAGAGACACGCTGCTGCCTGGAGATGCAGGCTGAGACAGGAGAAAATATCCCTCCCTCTTCCCTCCTCCAACTCTCCAAGCTTGTGAGTTGACTGAATCTGACCAGAAGCCAGCTAACATAGGAGTCTGAGAAAAGCAGCATGCAGGAGAAAGCAGAGCTGAGCAAGGTCGTGATCAGAGAACATGCACCTCATACCACACAGAGAAGACCCTTCTAAATAAGGTGATATTTCAGTAGAGACTTTAAAGAAGTTAAGAAGCAAACCATGCAGATATTTGGAATAAAAATGTTCCAGGTTGCAGGAGAAAAAGTGCAAAGGCCCTAGGAAGAGCATGTTTAGGGGCACAGGCAACGAATGATCCTACAACAGAAACAGCATGGGAGTGGTAGGAGATGAGGTCAGAGGGAAAGACAGGCAGCAGACCATATAGGGCTTTATATGCCATACGATGGGCTTTGGCTTTTGCTCTGAGATGAAGTCATTGGCAAGTTTTGAGCAGAGGAGTGACATGATCTGACTATGGTTTAAGAGGATCCTTGTGGCTGCTGTGAGGAAAAGAAACTTTAATGGGGCAAGAGACCAAGAGAAAAAACAGTTGAGAAATTATCTCAATAATTGAGGCAAGGTAGCCTGGGTGAGGGCCAACAGGTAGAGGAGAGGTAAGATTTGCACCTACGTTGAAGATGGAGCCAGCAGACGTCGTTGTTGGGTTATACGTGCATGTGAAAGGAGTGGCATCAAACTGACCTCAGCTTGAGAAGTGCAGGTTTGGAGGGGAAACCAGGAGCTCACTTAGGGACACATGAAGTGTGACACGGCTATTAGACACCCACACACAGCTGTGAGGGAAGGCTATTGAACAGTGATTCTGGAAGCTGGGAGATGTTTGGACCGGAGATGTAAGTGTGGTGGTCACGGGCATATAGACAGTCCTTGTCTTAGTTTGTCTACTTGTCTAGAAGCAGACCCTGACAAGAATTTGAGCGCAAGTAGTTTATCTGTAGGGAGAGTTCAAGAATTACCAGTAGAGAACAAAAGTGAGACAGGAAAAGGAAGAGAATCAATAAAATGTACATTACGAAAGAAGTCATCTCTGTCGGCAACTGAAATTTGTCCCATTGTGGAATTCTGGGAGAGAATATAGAAGAGGCTTCCGAGGAATGTAATAGGGGCGGGGCAGGTTCGCGGCTGTTAGCGAGCGAGCGACGTTAGCAGTCCCGCTCAGCCATTGGTCGGCATCGCAGTGGGCCCCTCTCCCAAACGAGCGACCGTTAGTGAGCAACTGTTAGCAAGTGACCGTTAGCAGTCCCGCTCAGCCATTGGTTGGCATCTCGGTGGGCCCCGCCCCCTTCCTCTGTATAAAAGGAGCCCGAAGTCGGACTGAGAGAAGATGGTATTTTTGAGACACTAATCTGCCATCTTCTTGGTCTGCGGGCTTTCTGACTCAAGTCGTTATTCCTTGCCCCAACAACTCGTCTCCCAATTTATTGGCCTGTTGTGCAGTGAGCAGAGCGAGCTTGGGCTCCGTAACAGGTATCCTAACTGAGGGATTGGAAAGCTAGGTTAATTATTCACCAAACTACCGTCCATCTTTGGTTGAGGGCTGCTCTGGGGGCATTAACTCTCCAGCACTTCCAGCTTCCTCACAGGAGAGCCCCTCGCCCGGGGGGCCATTAACCCCTCCCCTAACCCAGGGAGACTCAGAAGAAAGGTTGCCAGCAAGCAGCCTTCTGTGTGTACAGGCAAGTCTTGAAGGGATACAGGTGGGGTGGCCACAGCATGAAATGATCTAGCATCACCCCAA